GAATTATTTATATAAAACGATCATTTATTTGTATAATTAAACATAAAGCACAGCACGTGTTTCAGATTTAAAAGAATTTATTCTCCAGATAAAAATAATTATCTGCACAATTGGTTAAAAATTAAATTATGCATTAAATAGTTTTCCTACTTTAGATTAAGTGCTTTATTTTCGATGTTTTAAAATGATTATCAGACTAATAATAAAAAGATGGAGATTAGAAAACTTTTTTAATATGCTTCACAGAAAAAACAAGAGATTAAATTAGATTTTTTTTCACTAACTATTTTTAATAATGGCTCAATAACCTCTCTAATAAGTAATTTTTACATACATTTGGCTTTTGTTTACTTAACATCTTAACATGGAATTAAAATAATTTGTATTAACTTTTGTCTTTAACTACATTAAAATAAATTTAGCTCATTTTTAACATTATTCCTACATTCAATTTCTTCCTTTCCATTCCCTTTTTATTATTATTTTTATTGTACACGACAAAAATCATTATTCCAGTTAATAATTTAACTAAGAGAAAGTATACTTTCCTACTTTTAAGAAATTTTCAATATCTCTTTTAAAATTTGAGAAAAAATATCAATCAAACTGAACCAAGAAGCTTCAAATGTACGTAACTATAACAAAGGACACAAATCATAGACACTTTTCGCTAATGTTACAGGAATGTTATTTGCAGGCAAAACTTTCATATTTTATTTAAGTTATTGTAGTTTTACTGTCCTTTGATGATCGACAAACAGTATGTTGAACTTTTTCTCGCTTGTGGCTCTTTGACCGGGTGCTGTGTGTCTTGTGCTACACGTATGGCTTCATATTTATCTTGATTGAGTTCCTTAGGTAGCACATGTGAAAATTTTCCTTTCAACTCAAACGTTTCATTTTCATCACTTTTCTTAAATTTACTTTTGCTATCATCATTAACATGCATTATTTCAATAGGTTCTTCCCTTGTTTGATTAGTTTCAATTTCCTTCAATAGAGATAACAAATGTCCATTTCTTTTTTTTTATATTCTGCTCATTTACATTTATAAACCATGACAGTGTGTACAACACAGCAATCAAAAACACTAAGTTGCTCACAAGGGTAAAATGTAGCATGTTCATAGAAAAACATTTTGGAATAAATGTAGTTGCCTGGAAAACTTAGTCAAAACAAATACCTTAAGATTGTAAAAGAAAAAAAAAACGATTTCCACTACCAAGAAAGAGGGAGATATGTGGCAAAAACATTATAGTTCTTATGAAGACTTGTTATATAGGAGGATACTTTTTCTTTCTCAAAAGGAGCTGCGAATTGGTATTTTTACCTTTGCAGATCTAGTACATTCTCTAGGAACTGGTATCACTTTTTAATGTGGCTCCATATAGGTGATACCAATTACCACAAAACTTTTGACGCCGCCCAGTTTCTTCCCCAGATTTAGGCACCTTAGCTCTAACGATGCGAAATTGTACATATGAATTTAATTTTGCCGAGAGCATCCAAGCCAAACGGGCACTCAAGGGATTTTTTACAAGTCGCATAATCATACGATATGGACGCTGTCGATTTTCTGCCTTATGAATATCCACCGACTTAGGCCGGGGTCGAACCCGCAACGTTGGTTGCAGAAGGCCTGCGACAAACCAAATACGTCACCCAGCTGGCTTATAGGAGGATACTGTAAAGTGCATTGATAACAAACAACCAGTTTTCCCAGAATTAACAATTTCGTGAGCCTGGGGTGACGCTTTGCCCTACGCGTCCGCTCCCGGGTTAATGGAGAAAGACGCTATCTGAGCTAGTATATTCAACACTCCTAACTTCCACATCCACCAAAGTGAGGATTTTCAGCCCTGAAAAATTTACGTGCATTAGCCACTAAATATACGCCCATCTATTGAATCTTTAGTCGCACCAGAACTCAAATTCGTAACTTGAATGAAACAATGCCACCTGTGATCTAGATACAGAAAAAAGTCCTGAAACCCAGAACTCGACTACCTGGTAGTCCATAAAGCTGGACCACACACCCTTGAAGGTCGGGAAAATGTCCTTTACAGCAGTGTTTCTCAAATTGTAGGGCACGCCCCCCTTAGGAGGCGCGAGCATATTGTAATGTCAAAAACAAAAGACTATTTTAAAAAATTATTAATTTTCTGAAAGTAAACAAACTAAACACATTCTGACATAATAAACAATAAAATACATATTTACACTGATATATTACACTTATAAATGAAGCAGTGCTACACAATGTATTTTATAATTAATTTAACAATACTAAGTTAAGAACAAGTTTAGTAATTAAGAACAAGTTTAATAGTGATCCCACGGGATTGTCATATATAAAATTATATTCAAAAATGAATATTTATCTTTATAATTCGTACGGTTTATAATTAATCCCTTAAATGCCGATTAAAAGTTACGTGATTCGCTTCCCAATGCCCACCGTTTTCCACATAGGCTCGGGTATGTGACTTATTGGGGGGGGGGGAGAAGGAATAAAGAATTAAAAAAAATTTGAAGTAACTAAATCCATTGCAAACATTATCAAGGTCCTTTTATTGCATTCTAACGCCTTCGGAGTAATTTTATGAATAGCACTGCAGAGAAAAGATCATACTCCGGAAACACGTATATATACGTTCGGGGAAATTAACGCTTTGACTGAGCGAGACGTTTATATACGTCGGTGGCACTTAAGAGGTTTAGGTCGTATCGTAGTTTTAGCCTCAAAGTATAGTATCATTGAATTCAATACATTGTTATTGTATGAGGGGGGCGCGATGGAAATTATGATTGAATATTGGGTCGCGAATATTGAAACTTTGAGAAGAACTGCTTTACAGAAATTATTGCTGCTGTCGCAGTTATTGAAAAATTCGAGAAAATGATGACGTCAACTTTGAGAGGACACCATACAAAATTATAAAACATCACTTAGTAATTTTTTTGCCAAAATATCGCATTTAAATAATTTTCTTCTTGCAATAATATTTTTAAAACAATTTTATACGCGTATTCTAATCTAAGTGACACTAAATATTAAAAAACTATTCGTTTGTATGCTTTTTCAAAATCACAATTTCGAACGTAGTCAGATACCTTTAATCATAATGGAATAATTTGCTGTTTTTACGATTAAAAACATTATATTGAAGCCCTTTTTTTAACCACCTAAAGAGAAAACATTTTTAAACCTTACTATACTCAAGCTAATAACTCATACTTATTTGAAATATGATGATTGAAAACAAAAGAAATGATAGAGCAAAAGAGAAACTCAGTTCTTAAAACTCTTCCTACGGAAAGATGTATGGGGTTTTCCTGCAAAAAAAGAAAGTTAATGGGTCTGGAGCAGATATCTGATACTCTTCTTTTTTACAAACTCTTTCAAGATATTCATTTTTCTGGCAAGCGAGTGACAAGGCAAAAGTAGGGCGTGTATAAATTCTGCTTGAATCTCAGTAAAAACTTTCTGAAAGAAGCTAACAATAGAACCTGTTTTGAAAATATTATACGGTTATTTGGCAAGCATTCACTTGTAAATGTGTGAGTTGGTAATAAATACTGTGATCATAAAGCTGAAACTTTGTAGATTTCAATTTCACTAACATATGACGAATACCCCTCTGTTATGTAATGTTTATGTACTTTTTGCGAGTCAATTTATCTTTTTTAAACAAAAGTTTTTTCTTACGTGATCATGAAGTATTTTTTCTTAAAAATTTAGATTTACAGTGGTCTTGAAAATTGTAAGAACCATTGCAATTTTTTATAAAATTTAATGTTTTCGACCAATAAAAATTACTATTTCAGAACTGTAATTTTTTATAATATATGCAACCTGTTCTTATTAAAAAAAACATAATAAATTTTTAAAACAGAATACAACTATTATTTTGAAAAACAAATAATAATAATAAAAACTACTAAAATGTTACGCCACAAAAGTCAACGTGGACTTAAAAAAATCTCAACATAGCTCAGAATATTGTATTTTTTTTCTTAATTACTTAAGATATCTCTTAGCATCCACGACAACTTTTAAAGGTCTTGGTATAGATTTTATCAGTTTTTTTTTTGTTGAAATTTTTTGATTTACGGTACGGTCTATTATTATTCGGTGATTATTGATTTTGCTTCCCTTTTTGTTTTTATATGTCACGTATTCTTAGTTTAAATTCAAATTCTCACCAATTATGTTCTACTGAGCTAAAATCAGGTGATTAGGTAAACGGTGACAGCAAGGGGCTTAGGGTTCTTATCTTGTTAAAAAATAAAGTTGTCTTCAATACTCAAATTTTGGGGGATAATTTCAAATTTGTTCTTTAAAATATTAAAATAAAGCTCAGGATTCACATTACCATCCAAAATACCAAATTACCAATTCCTGAAGAAGATTTACAACCCCACGCAAGAACATCTCCACCTTCCCTGTTCAACTTGATTCCTGTTATTAGGTTTCAGAAAATTTAACCTTGAAAGCAAATTGATTGGAATGATCACAAATTCAACATATTTTATTCCATCCGGCGTCTTATAGGTTGGACAAGGAAAAATGAGGACTATACTGTGTACATAAAATGCAGAATGCTTCTTAATGACCGATTTTTTTCTTTTGTTTCGGTGGTTCAGTGTTCGAAGTATAGTACAAATAATCAATTCGAAATAGAATAAACTTTTTAATTTAAACTAGGACATAATAAACAAGAACACATATTCACTTTAAAGAACATTAAAAAAAACCTTTGCAATCAAAAATCTTATGAAATCAGTTAGTACAAACAACATATTTTTCAATTCCTACTATTAGTTCATTCTCTGTCTCATTCATCCACTCTGGTTCAAATACATTTTTTAAACTTGTTGTGGATGACACTTGGTGTGAATACAGTTTTTTCAAATATTAATTCATTGATTGAATGAAAATTGCATAAATGCTAAGAGACAAAAATAATAGTCCAACAGCAAAGAAAGAAAAATCGTTCGTTGTGTCCATGTAGGACAATGGGTAGTGCGTTGGACTTCTATTTCAAAGGTCGTGGGTTCGAATCCCACATGCAATGGCACGATTTTTGAGAATGTAATTTCTTTTTCTCTATATTCTTTCATTAGAATAATTTAATTAATAAATAAACAGTAATAAAAATTTTTTAAAAATCTAGTCTAACACCATATATCGAAAGAAAAATGGAAAATTGCAAGGAAAAAATCGCTTTCTATTCTGTCAATAAATATTGCGATTTTGTCATATGTATATACATATTTATATTAATTGTAACTATATTTAATAAAAAGTAACTAAAATAAAAAAAATTTCTTTGTTGACATAAGTAGAAATTTACTTGAAAAAAAAATTATTTTACTTGTAGCATATATCATTTCGAATTCTAACAGTCAACTGAAGAATTCTCACATCCACATTCATTCCAAAAATAATGCGAATTTTTGCAACAAAACTTACAATAACAAACGATAAAATACCTATAATAAAATAAACAGCAAGAAAAATGAGAGTTAGGCAAATTATTATCTCAAAGCAGACGATAGTAGTATGAATAAGACAGTAATTTCTATGTTTAAAATATATTAAAAATACTTTCAAAAAATGTATTCCACGTTTAGATATTATATATTTTAAAAATTTATATTCAAATCATAATTAACTGCGTAGTTCTTTTTATATATATAGAGAGAGAAACCTTCTTGAGTAGAGGAGACAAGTGAAGAGACATAGTAGGCTGCCAACCAGAGCGAGTTATCGCTGTTTCCAATTACTTTTTACACGTTAAAGCATAGAAATATATAGATATTTGGAGTTTTCTACTGATTAAAATGCTTATTACTTTCTCTCAATTACAATACTATTTGAAATGAATATAATTAAAATGTAATTAAAGAAATTATCTTAAATAAAATTATTTGTGTGTGTGGATTTAAGCCCAAAAAATCAATATATATATATATGTGTGTGTGTGTGTGTAGTTTTCATTTTTTTGTTCAAATGATATATAAATCCTCGTGTAGAAAAGAATTGATACACGTTAAATCTGTCGAGATTCAAAGTCTTCCCAATGGCGTGGTGTGGTAGTCTGGAGACGGGTATGCCAGGTCAAGTATCGTCATTGTCACTAAATCGAGGTTCAAAATTGCACGGTCCGTTGCCATTAAATCTCGTGTTGGTTTATTGTAAGACTTTTTTAATAAACATTCCCTCACTCAAAATACAAGTATTACAGTGAACGTGTGTATCTTTCAAAAAGAGATGATTTTTTCTGTTTAAGAATATCTCTTCTAATTTTTTAATAGTGCATTATAATAATTATAATTTAAAATAGATTATAGGAGAAACTACGCTTTGAAATGTATTTAAATCAAATTTTGTTCTTTACTTAAACATAACTCAATGCTTCAACTGGATTGAAATGAATGAAAATGTCTCCTAAATTGGCTTGAACATTAAAAATGTCTTTTATAAATACACTGGGGCTCATAATTAAGAGAATTTTTTTTTATATTCGTCTGATTATATATATCTCTAGAACTGCTGGACAGATTTTAATGAAATTTGATCTCTATATGGGGCTGATATTATGCAAAAAAATACCATTCAAATATCAAAATACATGTGCGTGATTGTGCGTAACACTTATTGAAGGCATGAAATAACAGTTGCCGAATATAACAAAAAAATTGGTTAAAAAGCGGTATGGTGCCCTCTTACTGATATACAGGCCTCGAACTGTGATTTTATACAGGGAATTTATGAGTTCATGTGGCAATTAATCCTACTCGTTCAGCAACTCTGTTTTCTAGCCTTGGATTAATCTCGGAAGGAATTTGAGAGTTACAGTTTCCCTCACCAGAGCATCCAAGCATACTCTATACGGATGAGGGCTTAAAATCTAATCAGCCAATCCGTTTGACGAATATCCTCCCTGAGAAATTCGTCAACCAGGTGAGCTTTATTGGCCTCGCGTTGTCATCCATTAAAATAAATTATAGTCAACTGCATCCGTGAAAAGGCGAACATAGGACTCCAAGATCTCTTCCCCATACCTCACAGCAGTTACAGTGCTTCTTGCAAAGATACAGAGTTGTACGGCCGTCCAACGTGATGACTGACCAGACCGTCAAGCCTCTGGTATCGTAATGGTCGGTTTTTCGGACATTAGAGGGTAGGTAAAGGGTCATTCGTTCTCTTCATTTAAAAGTACGACGAGAAAATGTACATATACCTCATCCCAGAACCATCCAAGGCTTGAAGACAGAGTTACTGAACGAGTGGGATTAATTGGCGCAGAAATAAATTCTTTTATTTCCAGTATAGAATCACGGTGTGAGGGATGTTTATCTGAAGAAGTGTGTGTGTCATAATTAACTACGATATTAGCTTTTTTTCTTTGTTACATGCTGCAACTTCTGTCTCACACTTGCTGACTTTAATAAGTATTACACATGACCATGAGTGTGTATTTTAACTGTTGAATAGTTATTTTTTTGCATTATATCAACCCTATATACATGCCAAATTTCATTAAAATCTGCCCAGTGGTTCTACAGATAATCGAAAAAATCTAAAAATTCTTGTAATTTTGAGCACATTTTGAAGAATTGAATCTAATCAATGATTATTAATATAGAAAAGTTTACTTTTAATTAAGAGAAAAGCTAAAGTCACGCAAATAAATAGCGTGATAAAATCGAGAATTTAAAAGTAAAGGCCTTTTGAATATAGATAATTAATGTGCTGCCTAAAGATGAGCACTTTTCCAGTTATTTACATTTCAAAATGAGATTATTAATTAAGGATAATTAATTGCGTTCGTAGTAATTATTATTTTCCTAATGATTCCGAAACTGTATGTATGTGGCTTGTGTTAAATTTACATAAATAAATCAATATCTAAGATTCAGATGTCTTAATACTCCTCTATTATCATTTGTTATGTTTTCTAGGTAGAGTTTTAGTAATAAAATAGATAATTCGAAGTAATTTGCATTTATTCATCTTCAATTTCAATATTAGTTTTAAAATTTTACGGTAAAATCGTATTATTCTGCAACAACTTTCGTAAATCTTATTCCAGTTCAGTGAAACTGGTATGATTGTTATAATTCTAAACGAAAATATAAATTATGAGCTTAATGATCTATAATTAGTTAACATAAATGAAATTATGTCTGAAAGCAAAATTATTTATTGTTTTTATTTATATAAGCTTGTTTTTTAAGAACATTAGGTAAATATTTTTTAAAAAATCTTTGTTTCGATTTTTTTTAAGTCTGCTTAACAGCAACAGAAATAATTGCAAAACATATTTAAGGTATTTTATATATTGCAGAAACAAATAATTTGCTAATAGTTTAATGATAATTTGAGAGCAGTATTCTTTTCTCTCACTTTCTCTTTCTCTGTCTATATATTTATTCTGACCACGGTAGCTTAATGGTCAAGGAAATGGTCTCGTGGCCAGGGCTTGCTAGGAGTTCGAGTCTAGTACCATTGAAGACCAGCTATGTAAGAGGGCGATGCACGTTAAATCTGTCGAGGCTTAAATGTCCTCCTTTGGGGAAGTTAGGAAGGGGGTAACAGCTAAAGAGTCGTTCTCGTCACTTAAACATGATTCAAAATTACGAAATTCTACGGCAAAAAAGAGCCATCGAGTAGCTAGACCGAGCGACGTAAAGGTTCACTCACTCTCTCTCACTCACTATATATATAATAGTTTTTACTTAAATAATTTTATTATTAGTTACCAAAGGGTTACTGTTTTTTCTACTAAAAAATGGCATCTGATGATTTTCCATATGCCTGGTTTCACCAATAATAAACTTAAATTTTTTAAAAAAATATCTTACAAGTTTGTTTTATTTATAATTCGTATAGCAATAAAAAGAAACTCATATATAAAATTTAAGCAATATTTTAAAAAATGATTGATGCATTCGGATAATGTATACGTTATCAGGAATTTAAGAACAAAATTCCGATGTAATCAAATTATAAGGAATTTTATGACAATTGTGAGGGTGTCATGTTTTTTCGAGAACAATTTTTTTTTTTACAATTTTAACTTTCTTCTAGAAATATATCTGTATTAAATCTTTTGCCACAGGGCCGTGGGCAGCCTAGTGGTTAGAGCATCGGACGCCAGACCGGAAGGCCTGGGTTCAATGCCTGATCCCACCAAATACTAACCGAGTACAAACGGAGCACGTGCTCGTTAAATCTGTGGGTCCAAATGGTGTCGCCATCTATCGAAAGCAAAATCGTGCTGTCACCTTCATGGGCTCAAACTTAGGCTAATGACAGACGTATCTCTAGCCCTTTACCATGATGAATTTCCTGGGTCTCGATTTGACTACGTCAGACAGGTCGCATAAACAACAATATCTTTTCTACTTTAAAATTTTGCTTAAGGCCTATTTGCTGAGATAGAAGACCATTTTTTTGCAAAAAATATGTTTTTTTATATTTTAAATAAAATTCATACGTTTTTTTATTATTTTTTTTTTTGTAAATGTATGGTTTTTAAAAAATATATATATTTAAAAATCATTGTTGGGGGGGGGGTTAATTTGTTCTTTTCATAACTGTGTATGGCAGTTATGAGAAGACTTTCAATGTTTGCGACCCAATTATCGATCATAGTTATCATCGCGCCCCTCTCCGTACATTAACGGTGCATTAATAATGTACTATGATGTAAAGCTACAATACGATTTTAATTATAAACTATACAAATTATAAAGATAAGTTTTAAATTGTGTGTATGAGAAGCCCATGGAAGTTGCTAGTAATAATTAAACCTGCTTTTAACTTAATATGGATAAATTAATTATTAAATACATTGTGCAGCACTGATACATTTATAAGTATATTATATCAGTGTAAATATGTCAGAATGTATTTTGTTTTGCTTATTTTCAGTAAATTGATAATTTGTTAAAATAATATTTTATTAACCCCCCCCCCAAGCCGGATTATCACGCCCGGAAAGGGGGTGCGCCCCCCAGTTTGAGAAACGCTGGTGTATGGACTTTTTCTCATTTGTTTTTTTAA